ATGTTGATTATATTAAATATCTATGCTAAGACATACACTATTTTCCATTTTTTTAAAAGAGAATGAGGGGATATAGCGGGTGGGTGTTTAAGAACTGTTTATTCTTCATGGCATTATACTTGCCGTTCGGTATATTTTTTATTATATTTTTCATTTTTATAGTGAACCCGACCTGTTTAAAAGAAAAATAATGAATTGAACCACGACTATAATTTTTTCATTCAAATTGTGCAAGGAGGCGAAACCTTATTCTGTTATGAAACTTATCAAGTTAAATGTGTATGGTTATTTTAAAGAGCTATTATAGCTAGAGGATAACCTAGTTTTAAAAGATCCTTAACACAATCAATAAATAATTTCAAATCGGTGAACATGAATTTGACAGATAATGCCCCTTTAAATTATTTAATCTAATGTTAAAAACATGATGATTTTCCAACTTCGTGGAATTCTGCATACACAACTATAGTACATATATCAGGTGACAAATGTAATCCAAGCAATTATCGAGGAATTTCTTTAATCAACTGTATATCCAACTATTTAGCAGTATCTCAAATAAATGATTAAAACTATGGAAAAAAAATAACTAATTCCCAGTTTGGATTTAGAGTTAATCATAGAACTGCAGACAGTGTTTTTATCCTGAAAACTTCAATTAATAAATATATTCATAAAAATAAAAGTGTTTTGTAGATCTTAAAAAGGCTTTTGATTCACTTTGGAGAATTGGAATGCTTTATAAATAAGCTAAAATGGGTGTGGGAAAACATATGTTTGAAATAATAAAACAGCAGTTTATTCATACTGAAGCATCTTTGAAATATAATGATAAACATTCTGGATTCTTTTCCATTGACCGAGGAGTAAAACAAGGAGACAATATTAGTTCTAAACTCTTCAACTTATTTATAAATGACATAGTTGAAAATTTTGACTATAAAGATTCAAAACCCCTGAGAATATTAAATTCTGATATAGGAAGTCTTTTGTTGGCTGATGACCTTATCATATTATCTGAAAGTGAAGAAGGTCTTCATAATAGTATAAATAACCTATCAAATTACTGTGAAAAATGGCAGTTATGTTTAAATACTGAAAAAAAACACATTGATCATTCAACAAAGAACTACAAAACTGGAACCATATATAGTAAGGTTCAACAATGAAAAATTGATAATGTTACAGAATATAAATTCCTGGGCATCTTAATAAAAAATAATGGAAATCTAAACGCAAGTTTAACAGATTTAGACAATAAAATCACATGTAGCCTTTTGGGGAAATTTCTCTGTTAATGTATCCTGTAATATCTTTGATTCTCTTATCACGCCAATTTTGACATACAGCGTAGAAATATCATACATGGATACATATCATTCTTATTATAAAGCAAAAGGCAAATTCAAATCCCAAAACAAAGATATAGATAATTTCCAATATTTGGATAAGACTCCTTTTGAAAAGGTTCATGTTAATTTCTGTAAATACGTCTTCTAATTTATGGGTTAACCTGAACTTGGTAGACAACCAATAGAAAAAATACTGAAAACATAAAACCATTGCTAAAAGAAAGTTATACATTAAGTAAACACCTTGACTTACAAGGAGTTTATATTCATGCTCCACTTTCATCAAAGATTCTACGCAAGAAATAAATATTGATATACAAAAAATAATTTCCTGTCAAAATATGAAACTAGTAAAAAACTAAAGACTTAGATTAAGAATATTTCAAGCAACTTTTATTCAGAATTACTGGAAAATAGAATAAACAGTTTAAACGAAAATAACAAACTTTTTCTTTATAAAAGCATTTAAGTCAAACAAGACCAAGAATTTTATCTTAGATATCCAAATTTTGAAACTAGACGTTTATTTACAAAAAATAGAATCAGTGACCATAACTTACTTATAGAAAAGGGCAAATATCTGAAAATACCTGAAATCAAAGAACATGCTTGACTTGTAAAAACTTAAAAGAGGAAAAAACACTTTCTCCTCTACTGTCAAATTAATAATATATTACGTATGAAACTTTTTAATGACATCGCAATAGATAATCCTATATTTCCAAATCTGTCTGATACTGAAAAACAAGCAGTCCTGCTAAATCCTTCAATATAAACCATGTGAAAAAAATAGGTTTCTTTATAGGACAGGGATACTCTTAGTTATTTTTGCTTGTATATATATATATGTTGTGTACAAGTTATCATTTTGTACAAATTATAATTTGGTACAGAATAATTGTACAAATAAATTATAATTTGTATTTTGACTTTGTACAAATTGTAATTTGTACAAAAAGTGACTAAAATTCACTTATAACTTGTACAATAATTTAAAGTATGGATTTTGTTTTAAAAAAGCATTGATACACACTATAGAATTGTTATCCAATGTCCACACAATAAACCTTATTTGCAAAATACAAGAATACCCAGATGGAGACAGAAATGTAATTGATACATACATGCCAGTTAATTCTGATAGTACAATAAAAATTTGCCCCAGTGACAATTCTGATGGAATAATGAAAATTGACTCCATTGGCAATCATACCACATCTTCTTTTTTATATCCAGTGACATTTCTGGAAGTATAATAGAAATTGGCCCCAGTGACATTTGTGTAAATAGAAAATGGCCCCAGTGACAATCAGGATGACACTGACGTTGAAACACCAATCATACGTGCCAGGAAGCGTCTGGCCAACAGATCAAGATTGAATATCTAACCAAGAAAACAAAACGGAAATTATCAGAACTTGCTTTGAGGGGATAATGTCATGATACCAATTCCTCAGTATGATCGTGCCCCAACTGATCCTCGAAATATCTTAGGTGTAATTATTGAATCTGGAGAATTTGGGTACCGCATTGGAACAGATGTAGGAATTTTAACAGGATATTTGTGAAGAAATCAAATTGAAGCTGTTAAAAACACATCTTTATTCGCAGCAACGGTTCCTGAGCTTCAACTTTCGCTACATGAAGCAGTTAAAAAGCTTTCAATAACTGGTGGTCAGGAGTTTCTTTCATGTAAATGCAAAAAAAAGGGGGGGGGGGGGGGGGGGGTGTGCAGCAATTCTAAATGTAAATGTAAAACGCAAAAGATGTTGTGCTATTCCCGATGCCATAAGTTCACTCACATACTCAAACAAATGATACATAACTAATTTCGTATTTTGTAAATTAGGTTTATTGTGTGGTCATTGAATAAAAAATTATATTGTGTGTATCAATACTTTTTTATAACAAAATCCATACTATAAATTATTGTACAAATTATAAGTGAAATTTATTCAAATTTTGTACAAATTGTAATTTGTACAAGGAATATTTGTACAAATTACAATTTTAACAAAGTCAAAATACAAATTATAATTTGTACAATTTTTTTGTAAAAATTATAATTTGTACAAAATGATAACTTGTATACACAACACATATATATATATAGGTATCGGGTCCGTTCGCGCCCAATACACGTTCGCACCCTACACGTTCGCACCCCACACGTTCGCCCCCTAGGTCCGTTCGCACCCTACACGTTCGCACCCTTTTTTTATTCAAAAACCTGATAAATTTTTAGATGTTTTGTAAAATATTTTTATTTTCATAAATAAAAATTCGGGAATATATGTATTCAAATCAGTTTATTTTTTTGTTGTTATTATTTGTATTATGTTACAAGTATCATGTTGTACTTATATGACAATGCAAAACAAATTGAGTGTTATGTAAAAAACAATTATATCGGCCGGGAACTTTAATATGCTAAATTATGTATACCCGTATAATATAGTGAACCCGACCTGTTTAAAAGAAAAATAATGAATTGAACCACGACTATAATTTTTTCATTCAAATTGTGCAAGGAGGCGAAACCTTATGGTGTTATGAAACTTATCAAGTTAAATGTGTATGGTTATTTTAAAGAGCTATTATAGCTAGAGGATAACCTAGTTTTAAAAGATCCTTAACACAATCAATCTATCATCTATCTAATATTAATTGAAACTTTTACTAGTAAATATTTTAAAAGCAGTTTACTTAATGTGATAAACCAATAATTATTTTTGAATTTTATAAGGATATATATATTTTTTTTTTATATAAATGTACAGTTGTCTGATATGTTTTAAAGTGTCTCATAAGTCTATTCAAAGGCTGGATATTTGATCTCTGTTTTTATTATGAATTGTTGTATATATATATTGTCTGATCAAATATGTGACACTATAATAAAATAATTATTTATTTTATTTATTTTATTTATTTTTTATATAATTATTCAAATCAGTTTATTTTGTTGTTGTTATTATTTGTATTATGTTACAAGTATCATGTTGTACTTATATGACAATAAAGATTTATTTAAAAACTTTCCTCTAAGATCACCTTGCAAGGAACGCAACTCGTATTATTTAATCATCCCATGGAAGTTCCATGATCATCCCTAGGAGATATAATGAGCCCATTATACTTCCATTTTTATCCTATAATCTGAGCCTAATGTGTCTACTTTTAAAATGTGGCTGGTCAATCGTCACACCCGTCGACATTATAACAACGTAAGCTAATAAGGAAGTACAAATTTGCTTATGTTTTCTTTGTGATTGTGCATCATATGAAGAGTAAGAATGTGAATTCTAATCCTTTGACTGACCATTATAAATTTTTTAACTAACCAATGCTCTCTGATCAATACAATATTTTCAATCATAATATTTAATTAATCCTTTTAAAATACACCGAAACCCTTTGTGGGTGATACAGGCTCCGTTGTTGTCTATAATAATTCGCAAATTAAATGTATATTTGTAGAAAGCAGTAGGAAACCATATTATAATGTAGTGTCTCTTTTGCGATAAGACAAATGTATAAATTCATATAAATAATTTAATATCTGTGTTCTTCGATTGCTATGTAATATTCTGACAACATTTGTCATCTCATATTACATGTCTTTCAATAAAAATCAATGTGTCCTACCTTCTCAAGAAACTATAAGTCGTCCAGTGGTCAGCTTTAAACGCTAGCTCTTTGTTCAAACTTGTTTAAATCGATTTCCAAAATCGAATGTCAATTTTCACTTGACAGTGTTTAAATATTATGTGTACACCATATATATTTATATGCTAGAATGCTATTCCAATCATTCTAATTTTTAGTATGAATGACTGGATACGGATCATATCACATTGTCAAACTGTATACCTGTTTTCTTTTGAACTTACAACTGAAATATAAAAGACCATGTTTAAAGAGTAGACTAATCTAAATAATGGTTTGCCCACATTTAATTAAACCAATTAGCTATTAGTAAAGAAAACAAAAAAGACAAAAAAATTAATGAGCATACAATTATATAGTCTGTTCCAACTTAGGAATATAGTTTATCAGTGTTTTCTATATATTCAGGTATTTTTCATTGTGTAGTTCCAATTTCATTTATATAGATAAATAATAAATTAATCAAATATTTTTCTCTCAATAATTTAATATCAATTCAATCGATTCATTTAGAATACATGTACAACTAATGACAAAACAATGACATTCATTTATAAAAGTGTCTTAATAATTCATTAGTTTTCATGATATGAATATATCTTTTATTGCAAACATAATTTATAAAATATATGAATCAAATTTATGCATGCATTGCATAAGGAAATAAATAAAGCACTATGGTTTTACAATCTTTTATATATTGTCAAGCCTGCGAATTTTGTCGCAGAAAGCTCGACATAGGGATAGTGATCCGGCGGCGGCAGCGTTAACTAACTTCTTCAAAGCTTTATATTTTAGAAGGTGGAAAACCTGGATGCTTCATATTTTGTATATAGATGACTTATGTTACGAAGTTTCCGTCTGTCACATGTCCATTGTCCTTGACCTCATTTTCATGGTTCAGTGACTACTTGAAAAAAAAGTAAAGATTGTTTGTGATGTTAATTTCTCTCTTGTTATGAGTAATAAGATAATTATATTTTGTATATGCGTACCTTGCAAAGTCCTCATGCCCGTCAGACAATTTTCACTTGACCTCAACCTCATTTCATGGATAAGTGAACAAGGTTAAGTTTTGGTGGTCAAGTCCATATCTCAGATACTATAAGCAATAGGTCTAGTATATTTGGTGTATGGGAGGATTGTTAGGTGTACATGTCCAACTGGCAGGTGTCATCTGACCTTGACCTCATTTTTATGGTTCAGTGGTTATAGTTAAGTTTTTGTGTTTTGATCTGTTTTTCTTATACTGTATGCAATAGGTCTTCTATATTTGGTGTACGGAATGATCGTAAGGTGTATATGTCCAACTGTCAGGTGTCATCTGACCTTGACTTCATTTTCATGGTTCAGTGGTCAAAGTTAAGTTTTTGAGTTTTAAGCTTTTTTTCTAATACTATATGCAATAGGTTAACCATATTTGGTGTATGGAAATATTTTATGATGTGCATGTCAGTCTCGCAGGTTTTATTTGACCTTGACCTCATTTTCACGGTTCATTGCTCAGTGTTAAGTTTTTGTGTTTTGTTCTTTTTTCTTAAACTATAAGCAATAGGTCAACTATATATTTGTTGTATGGAAGGATTGTAAGCTGTATATGTCTGTCTGGCAGGTATCATCTGACTTTGACCTCATTTTGGTGGTTCATTGGTCAATGTTAAATTTTCATGGTTAAGTTTGTTTTTTAGATTCTTTAAGCAAAAAGTCAACTATATTTAATGCATAGATTATATGTAAGGTGTACATGTCTGCCTGGCATAGTTCATCTGACCTTGACCACATTTTCATGGTTCATTGGTCAATGTTTAGTTTTCTTTGTTAAGTCTGGATCTTCGAAACTTTGGCAAATAGCTATAGGTCAACTATATTTAGTGAATTGAATGATTGTCAGGTGTACATGTATTTCTCGTTTGCTTTATCTGAATTTGACCTCATTTTCTTGGATCATGTTAAGTTTATGTGATAGTTGTAGTAAAGTTTTATATTTAGGACTATCAACATAATATCAATGGTTAGTAAAGAAGGCGAGACGTTTCAGTGTGTGCACTCTTGTATTTCAAAAGTCACAAAACATTATATTCACAAAGTCACAAATTACAATCTTTCACTAAGTCATTCAGTTCAAATGAAGAAGATTGGATGCTGCGTCAGAGTAGTCTATTACGTTGATGAGTCCTTGTTGGTATGTGTCTTTCAATAGTTGGAGTCTGGTGTCTATTACTCTGTATCGTCGTCTTTTTGGTGGGCGGGCTCCTCCTGCTGCATACTGGATAATGGTACATTCTGTTAGTGACTGGGTCTTCTTCAGTAACTCAATGATCTCGTAGATGTTTAGGGTGGGCATGTTGGAGTCTCTTCTTTATTTTGTTGTATCCATCCTTCGGGGTCCTTCTGTGTAGAAGTGGTTCCATAGAAAGCGGTATCCTTCAACCCAAAAACTCTGTCACGTAATCTGTAAATGATGTTGTAGCGGGTATGTTGTCAGCTTCACCAATGTCTTCTAAAGTTGTAAGACATACATCCTCAACAAGGTGGGGTGGAAGAAGAGGTAGTATTAAGGCTCGTCGTATAAGTCGAGTGATGTCTTCATTTTCTTTATAGTATGACTGTAGTCCACATTTCTGTGCCTTTTGCCAAATACAATGGGTAAGTGGAAGAAGAAGCTTTAACGGTTACCCCTGGGAACACTGTCCGTGCTGCGTTGTTGGTTACTGTCTCGTTATCAATAAGTACTGTTTCTGGTTGAAGTTGTAACTGATGTAGTTGAGCGATGTAACGTATGTGGCTGAAGAAGCGTGAATAGATGACCTCGTCTTTTCCTTGTTGTAGAGCATACACTAGTGGGAACATAGAACAATCTACCATTGCATGAACTGTGTACAGCTGATGAAAGAGAGTTGGACATGAGTAGAATGTGCCGTCGCAGAAGATCGTGTTGGCAGCAGCAAGGTGTGTCAAGTTGTTTGTTGTTGAGAAGATCAGCATGGGTGGGTAGATGTTGTCCGTCGTTAAAAGGAACTGTTTTCTTGTAGTTGTAAGGCACCATTCATCCTGCTGGTCGATGTCGATAGTTGTCTTGGGTGGGACGTGTCTGTTAAGTGACCTTTGGTGGTAGAGTGATGTGTTGCAGGAGTAATGGGTAAAGCTTGGCTACTGAACAGTAGCATTTGTATTTTATTTGTTAGAATTAATTGGATATTTTTTATATTAAATTTCAGAACAGTGCATTTATTAAAATTGAAAACAAAAAATAAGGTGAATAAATAAAACGAAATTTAAATGACACTTATTTTAATCTTAAGTTTCATTATTTTTTTTTTCAGAATGTACCAACACTTAAAACAATTTGTTGATAAAATGTCAAAATAATAAACATTTTTGTATACATTTTTGTCTATATTTTTTTCCTATTTGACAAATTCAATACATTCCCTGCTGAAAAAAATATAAAATATAAAATATTTTTGCACTTTTTCCTTGATTTAATAGCAGAATTAAGTCTGTTTTATGAAATTTTACAGGTAAAATAAAGGTAAAAAATATGACTATAATTCAAAAATAAACTATAATTGTTAAAACATCAAAACATCCTATGTTTTTATAAAGATGCAATTAAAAGTGGGCAAACCAGGATGACATCCATGTACCTATACCGTTTTTTTTTTTAAATCCCCGTTTCTTAATTAGCCCTCTATTGTTTATTATGAACACAAAATATACCATTTAATCTGGGACTATTATACTAGCATAATAGTCCCAGATTTAATTTAGATAATTTTATTAAGGGTTTTTAATTTGGTTGTTTGATGTATGAAAGTAAGGGATGAAATTAAAACTAATTTGTTAATTATTTATGATATTTTTTCTAAATAAAGGAAATTTGTGCAGAAAAAAGGAATGAATTTAATATCGATTTTTACACGAGCAATTGGACTAGGTGATGTAGTGAAAAACAAAAATTCTATAGTAAAAATCGTATAATACCGAATGTAGTTTTGTTAAGCAAGATTTGAAAAAATATTAAAACCGATGTTCATTCGTAAATAATACATGTATAACATTTGCATATAATGATCGTAAAATCAAAGGAAAAGTTCTCTAAATTATCTTTAAATCTTTTCAGATTTTTCTAACGTTTCTTTAAAATCTCTATGTTGATGTTAGATTATATAAGCGGTGGAAAATTTTCAGTGAAGTTGTAGTGTTGAAAAGGAGAGGGGAGAACATTTCCAATACTCTTAATATTCGTCAGTTTGGAAATTTTACTTTCTAAAAAAAATCAAAGTGTAGAAAGAGCCAAAAAGAAAACTATTAATGTAAATTACAAGATAAAAAAAACACGTTGCGCACGGAATTGGTACCAATAACAATAGGGCCACCGACCTCGTTTTTTTACGGTATACATTATTCAAGGTGATTTTCTTAAAAGGCAAGTTGTGCATTTGCATACGTTATAACACAGAACTATTTAATATTTTGTTCACCAGGGGGGTGGGGACATAATAAAAGTTACTATTTGTTGAAATGTTCCCATCGATGCATTACACTTGCACGCAAAAATAATCACGTTTGCGTGCGAACCTTTCACAAAATGGTAAGAAAGTTATGTATTATTACGCATGCGAATGCACTACCGCCAATGGGAACTTTTTAGAGTGACTTACTTTCTTGTATGTTCTTTTTGACCCGGCCATTTTAATGGTTCCATACCTAAAGATTTTTGCGGAAATATACAACATTTGAGGATGCCGAGGGTATAGAAAGCCATTATCTGATTTTACCACATATAGCATCTTTCTTGTTCAGTTTCATTTTTGATATATCTCACCGTGAATTAATCAAATATTTGCATTGACATCTGTTCTAAGATTGTTTTATTCTGTTCTAAAATATTTAAAACACCTCTGAATCTTGAGTCATGGTTGAGCCGTCATGTACTAAGATGGTATTTAGTTCATCTATGCAGTAATTGTTACACGTTAAAAATCTTAGTTTCGAGTACCGCAAACAAATAGCATTCCAGATACTTTTATTTCCTCAACTTTTTTATATGCTTCTGCCAAAATATCCGTTTTTCAGTATTTGTTTTGTTTTTTTTTTGCTTTTTTGTTAGTTTTTGTTTTTCCTTTCCTTTTTGGCAAGGAACGAATATCTCATTTTTTTTTTAAAAATGTATAAGTTTTTAGATGCCATGTAATATAAAATCATCACATATTGAATTACTGA